ATTAACAAATGGTATTGACATACCAAATACCAGTAATTTTTTATACAATATAAATAATGATAATTTTATGAAATTAAGATCTATATAAAATAATATATTCTTTAGTAAAGTATTAACATTATTTTTTAATTTAATAATAATTCAGAAAATTATAACAAATACAATTGGTAATTTAGGTGATGTAATTTTAACATTAAAAAATAATAATATTAATATAATCAGATTTATAAATAATAATATTATAACATTAAATAGCAACTGCAACTTTTCAGCAACAGGTCAGGTTTTGGGACTTCCAAACTTTAGCATTACACAACCATTTTCACTCACTACACCATTTTTACATATTGCTGGTATTACAAATAATGGAACAATCAGATTTATTATTGGCAATACTTCCCCTTATAGGGTTCTAAAATTAAATCTTAATATAATAGATTGTAGAAGGCCATTAAAATTAACAACAATAAATAATAGTCCAGAATTCAGCAGTGGTATTGTCATTGATGCTACTACCAATGTTTCTTTAAGAAATACAGGTGTGAAATATTTAAGATTGGACAAGGTAGCATCAAAAAAATTAACATACACTGGCAAGTTTCAAGGAAACACATATAATACTAATGGCAATAGTGATATGGTGTTTGAAAGAAATAATATTGAATATTTTAGGTTATTAAACGCTCCTGTTGGATATCCAATATTGGATTGGACTAATACAACAGCATCAGCTGGAATTTCATCAAGTATTATTTTTGCTAACATTTATTTCACAAGAAGCGAAACCCAAGATACAGTGTTTAGAGGAAATCCACCATCTGGAACCGGTAATCGTGTTGAATATGTCAGGTATGATTATGCTAATTCACAAGTATCATATAGCTATGTTATTAATAATATTGGAAGAAATATTGTTGGCCATATTATCGACACTATTGTTTCAGATGAAAGATTAAAAAATTGACATAGAAAATTTTAAAGAAGAATGTATTAATTATATTAAAAATGTTAAATTACATAAATTAAAATATAAAAATGAAAATACAAAGATAGTAATAAATATGGATTTATAGTATAACAACTTTTGGCAAACCTACCAGAAGACATGAAAGGAATAGTGAAAGAGGTTGAGGATAAAGAAAATAAGGATAATTTTTTAATAATTAATTATATGAAATTATTTGTGATACTCTGGAAAAGTTTGCAAAAAGAGATAAATGAAAGAGAACATATTGAGGCGCGCTTATTTGAATTAGAAGATGCTGTTAATAAGTTAAAGGAAAAAGGTAAAGGGAAAGCAAAATCTAAACTAAAAGATAAACATATAAATAATTATATATAATGGGAAATTCATCATCAAAAAATAATAATACAAATCATATTGATAAAATTAATGAAATAAAAATTAATGGCTTAGATTTATCTAAAATAGATAATTTACAATTAAAAGCAATAAAAAAAATTGAGAGATAAAATTCAGGAAATGAAAAATAAAAAATCTGACAAAATTCTTTACAAATTGCCAGCAATTAATATTTGTACTCCAAGCTTGATTTAGATTAATAATATTAATTAAAAATAATATTATTAATCAAAATCTACTATAATCTTCTTGTCAAGTCTTATCTTAAAAATATTATTTAGATAATTCTCCATTAGATTTACAAATAAGAATCTATATTTTTCTTCAATTGCGTTTTCATAAATTTCTAGCAATATCTTTTTAACATTTTAAATATTTGTTTCATTAATTAATATTTTTTCTTTATCAATAATACTGACAATTCCTCTATCATTGTCTATATTTCTTTATAAATCTTCATCTTGAAGGAGAACAACTACCTGAAATTAATTCTGATTATTATTGACAATCCATTGAATTTAAGTTAATAAAATTATATTACATCCAAAGTATCTACCTCTGATGTATAAGGCATTGGGCAATGAATTGTGTCTTGAAAATCTGGTGTTATCTATAAAATCATCAATGATAATAAGAACTGAAAAAAGTTGTTTGAAATCATGGCCTTTCTGAGATTTAGTTATTTTATGTTGTAAATCTAATATTTCTTCAAGGTCAGTAGGATTAAAATCATCAAAATAGATCTTTTCTTTCTTCGGGTCCACTTTCAGAATCTTTTCAATATAATCTTTAACAGGAACCCAGACGCTATCTACGTAAATGGAACTTGAAAATATAAAAATACTGCTGAATCAATCCCTACACAAATCTAAAATCATAAATTAAAGAAGGATAGTCTTTGCACTTCCAGATGGCCCTACTACAATCTCTGAAAAATGGAATTTTGGGAGCCGCATCATATTTTGATTGCTTAAATTCATATTCTTTCATTTTAGCAGGTTTAATAATAGGAATATTTATAAAATATTTAGAAAACAAATTATAAATTATATCGATATACTATATTAGAGGATAGTAAAATTTATATGGAGCATATTCCACACAAGATGCTAATTAGTTTGATGTTAATCCCATGCCAATCTTCTGCTACCCCACCATCGTATATTGAATTCGTTTTTTGTGCCGGTCATGGCTTCGCCCTGAGGGTGTAAAGATCCATCACCCCAGAAGCTCCAATACATAATATACAATAATATTATTAAGGAAAAACCTTACTAATATTATGTAATGACTATTGCTGAGTATGAAGCATATATGGCAATAGTACATGACATTGAAGCAAGGATAGAAAATAATGATAAATATCCTATAATTAAAGATAATAAAATTAAGAAATATTGTAAACTAACCTTGGAATTGTCAAAAGTATTTATCAGATACATTTTATATACCGATGCCATCAAAAAGGAAGTTTAAAACAATTCCTGAGGGTAACGAGCCTAAAACTGTCAAACTGAATGAAGAAAGCAAACTATCAAGTAAATTTATTTTGTTTGATTGTCCTGTATGTTATTATAAGTTACAACTGAGAAACGAAATAGAAATAAGCCCAAAAGGCATCAAGTGTAAGTGCACAACTCATGTAGCTTTAAGATCAATAAAAATAACAAAACAATGAGCATTGTCAAAAACGATAATAAAAATATAACATTAGAGAGTGAGGACCACAGCATAAGCTTTAGTTTCAATAGAATTATCACTCCAGAAACTAAAAATGAAAAAAACAAAAAATAAAATGACAAATAATATTATAAACACGGCTCCAAGGAACCCTATAAAATCTAAAAACCCAAACATTCCCCGAAATAAGCCCGATATAGATACCATGGATTAAAACTATTTAAAGAGCAATTTTAAACATAATAAAAAAACATATAAATATCTAAATAAATATATATATAAACTTATGATATTAAATAATGATAATAAAACAAATGATAAAACCAAGGAACTGATAGAAAAAATCAGCAGAAATACAAAACAATTAAAACTTGTTAAAGCAAAACTTGAAGAAATTAATAAAAAACAATAATACAGTGGTTTTGAGAAGAAGGGTATCGGCAGACTTGCGGGAACTTACTAAACCAAGTAAGAGCAGTATGTCAAAATACTACACGACGGCAAAATTAAGTAACCAAAAGAACAAACCCTCGAATATTATAAAACTTCAAAAGTTAGTAACAAATACAGTATAATTTAATAGATTCCATAAAATCATATTAAATGATTTTATGAAATCTTCGAGTGTTTTCGGGTATCTTCGAATAATTTCGGACAAAACTTCATCAAAAATACTATTTTTCAAGATTTGCTTTTTGAAAAACACTGTGTTTTCCCTGTGTTTTACTTGTGGATTTTTGTAATATGTGCCGTGGTGCCCTAAGGGTTGAATTTTCGCATCCTTCAAATCTGAAAGATACAATATAGAAATCCTATTAAAAATCCCCCCCCCAAAATACAGATGGCTCCGGACGCGTATCGTGCTCCTCCTCCTAACCAAGCAAAACGAACATAAGAGAAAGAAAGAGGTAACTACATCCATAAAATATTTATTTCAATATTTTTTGTTAAAAAACATATTATTAATATAATATAATTTAATTTACAAGCGTTTTTCTTGAAGTTTCGCGTTTCGGTACTTTTCGAATACCTAATTACCTAAAAGGGCAGGAAGAAAAACATAACAGAAGTATTTCAATGATATTTTTTCTAAAAATAATATTTTTTAAATAATTTTTCTTACATTTTATATGTTTTTTTTCTCAAGTCTTTGTCTCTTTCCGGTGCCTCGCGCTTTGTCTGTTCAAGTCCCTCTGAGGCAGGCAGGACACACGCTTTAAAATTATATGTTCATTTTTTAAAAAAATCTGAAAATACTATTTTCATTTTACATGTCTTTTAACAACGTTTTGCTGAGTTTGCTTGTTTTGCGCCTTGTTCTGGATCTTCAGGACGCTTTCGGCTCTGAATGGACCACTGCAACCACATCCTGCCTTAAATGACTCTTTAATTAAGAAAAGGTATTGATTTAATGTGTTCCTACACATACGGACCACAGCATATGAGGCCTTTCGACACCACATATGTCCTGAACCACATACAAATATGCTCTCAACCACATCGGTTGGAAATGCCTAAACAGCAGCAGAATTTTGGCTTTTATGCTCTCAACCACATACACATATGCTCTGAACCACATACACATATGCTGTGAAGCGCATCCCTGTATCTCAAATGCAAGTTGCTGGGATGCTGGACCCGAAGGTTCGGGTTTGGGTGGTGAAATGGTTCATAGTATTGTTCGCGGAATCGTTCAATGTTTTTCATTTGCGGGACCTATGACGCAGTTCAATTTTGTGTGTGTGCTTTGCTTGTTGCTGTGCTGTTAGGCTTTTTGCTTGCTTGTTCTGCTGTTCACCTTGCCACTTCAGCTCATCCACAAGCTGGCACCTGTCACAAAAGGTCGAATCAAATCAAAGAGAAGGGCCTCTCAGTTTTGGTAGAGCTGGAGCTGCAGAATGACCTCCCAGAATTCACCAAGTCATCACTCTTTTTGTCACTGCGCACGATCTATCGCTCAAACGCTGTCCAAAAGCGGTGCCGTGAGGCCCTGTGTGCCCTGCACTGAGCCGTGGAAGAACCGCATGATTGAGGTGCGGAAAGCGCTACGAAACTCACTGGTGCAAATCAGAAGGAGCGCAATCTTTTTGTAGATGTTGGCGGCCGCCCCTGTGATGAGCCCCATGCTGACGTCTTCGGAGAGCAACTGCTGAGATTCAGTTAGCAAGCCGAGTAGTAAGAGCAAGCTGCCAAAGGCCCAGTCGATGATGTCTTCGTGGGCCTCATGGCAAATCTTCGGGAGCAAATCTGCTCCTGTGAGAACGAAGGTTGCCAACAGCGCCCTGAATGCCGGCACATCATTGTAGCAATGGACCATGATCAGGACATACGTGGCAACCGAGCAGAACAGCACGCAGCACCGGCCCAACACAGCGATGTCGCCGGAGCATGTGCCCAACATCGTGAAGCATCTTTCTTTCAACCAGGTTGTCACCGGAACGTCCGGGACTGAGACAAAGAGGGGGTTCAAGTCATCTTCTCCACCGTCGATTTGTTCTAGGGAAGATTCGGCCGAAGCGCCTACAAGAAATGCATTCAAAGATCTAAACAATGAAGACAAAACATAATACAAATAAAAAATAAAGTAAAATAAAGATTACTTAGCCCAAGTACCTCGCCGCCTCGCTTCTTCACCTCCTCGTTTTGGTAGAGATTGAGCCGATCCAGCCCAATGTTGGGAAGCCGCCCCACTTGCTCCTTCACTGCAATGTCATGCACGAAATCCACTTGAAATCAACCTGCAAAATCTAAATCGAAGGTTTAACATCGACTTTATTAAATTTAACTCGTCTCCTTCACGTTCTTCAGCAGCGCAGCCACATCTGCGACGGGTAAGTCCCTCCGCAAGACTCGGATGGTGCTTTCGCCGCCCTCCACCTTCACCCACAACATGGACGCCATCTTCGCACTTGAGCGCAAGAAGAGCTGCGCAAAGAGCTTCAACCGAAAAAAAATACAAAGAAAAAACATATCTTTCTTCTGCTTAAATTTGAATCGTCCCGCCTTGTTTTGGTAGGAGGTCATCAGCGTCAATCCCTCTTTCTTCAGGAGTGCATCCACGGCCCTCTCAAAAACTGGTCCATTCAAGACACTAACCCCACCTTGCATTGTAGAAGAGGATCAGCGCCACAGTTGAAAAATGAAACACGGTTTAGTTCTTGGAATTGTTTTTGTTGTGTTTTGGTCTTCTTTTAGGTGGTTTTGGTTTTGTCTTTTAGGATTTCTTTGCCATTGTCTTTGTTGAAGGTTCGGGGTTTTGGTTCTTGGTTTGGTTCTTGGACTTGTCGTTTTGGAAAGATGGGATTACTTAAGGTTCAGGGTTTGGGGTTTTGTGGTTTGGTTGTTTTGCTTTGCTGGTGCTTTTGTTTTGCTTTTTGTATTGTCTGTGATGTTTTTTGTGGTGTGTGCTGGTTGCTTTTGCTTTTGTCTTGTTGCTACACTGTTATGTTTTTTGCTTTTTGCTGTGCTGTTATGTTTCCTTGTTTTTTTTGTGGTGTCTGCTGGTTGCTTTGTTTTTTTCTTTGCTGTGGTGCTGTGCTGTTTTTTGCTTTTTGCTGTGCTGTTATGTTTTTTGTGTGTTTGTGGTGGTTGTGCTTTTTGCTGTGCCAAGGTGTAGGCGGGAAACATGGGATTACCCATGCCTAGCTATAAGGAAGTTTCAGAAGGCTGGGTTGAAGCTTTCCGCGGCACCTTGGACGAAGCTCGCGACCATTTCCCCAAAGGTCTTGCCTTGGGGAAATTAGGACTAGCGCTGTCAGATTCAAGGCCGCCACGTTTAGTCATGGATGCAAGTATATCCGGAGTAAATTCCCAAAGTCGAATCCCTGAAAAATCTTTGCTCCTGACCGCAAATGACGTACTCAGATGCTTCCCACTGCGGAACTCAGCAGAACCACTAGGCTGCTTCTCGTTAGACATCCAGTCGGCGCACAAACGGATAGCAGTTCCCCCTTGTCACAGGGGGTACCTTGGTTTCCAAGTCAAAGGTAGACTCTATTTTTATGGAGTATGTCCATTGGGGGCTTCGGTCAGTGCGCATTTTTGGTCTCGCCTGGCAGGTGAACTTGTTCGCCTTTGGCATCGCTTCGTATGGCTCCCTCATGCTGCATACCTATACGTAGATGATTTTTTACGATTCAGCAATCCAAATTGTTACCCATCTCAGCTTGCATGATTTGTGCCTTGCGCAGTGTTCGATGGATTTCCCTTACATATACCTATGGGGTCTCTGGTATATGAGATATTTATGAAGTCCACCTTGAACACACTTTGTTCCCATTCTTGTCCCACTTTGGGGTTCTTGTTCCCACTTTGCTCCCACTTTGTTGCCATTCTTGAGGTTCTTGTTCCCACTTTGTTCCCACTTTGTTCCCATTCTTGTCCCACTTTCAGGCTCTTGTTTCCATTTTGTTCCAATTTTTCCCATTTTGTTCCCATTCTTGTTCCAGTTTGGGGTTCTTGTTCCCACTTTGTTCCCCCTTTGTTCCTATTCTCGTTCCACTTTGGGGTTCTTGTTCCCACTTTGTCTTACTTTGGGGTTCTTCTTCCCACTTTGTTCCCACTTTGTTCCCATTCTTGTCCCGCTTTGAGGGTTCGGTTCATTCTTCTTCCCACTTTGTTTCCATTCTTGCCCCCACTTTGTTCCCATTCTTGTCCCGCTCTGAGGGTTCTTCTTCCCACTTTGTTTCCATTCCTATCCCTCTTGTTCCCACTTTGTTCCCATTCTTGTCCCACTTTGGGTTCTTGTTCCCACTTTGTTCCCAGTCCCACTTTGCGATTCTTGTTCCTACTTTGATCCCATTTGGTTCCCATTCTTGTCCCACTCCCACTTTGACCCCACTTTGTTCCCATTCTTGTCCCACTTCGCGATTCTTGTTCCCACTTTGTTCCCACTTTGTTCCTATTCTTGTCCCACTTTGGGGTGCTTGTTCCCACTTTGTTCCCATTTTGTCCCACTTTGGGCTTCTTTTTTGACTTTGTTCCCACTTCGTTCCCATTCTTGTCCCACTTTGGGGTTCTTGTTCCCACTTTGCTCCGACTTTGTTGCCATTCTTGGGGTTCTTGTTCCGACTTTGTTCCCACTTTGTTCCCATTCTTGTCCCACTTTGGTTTTCTTGTTCCCACTTTGTTCCCACTTTGTTCCCACTTTGTTCCTATTCTTGTCCCACTTTGGGGCTCTTGTTCCCACCTTGTTCCCATTCGGTTCCCATTCTTGTCTTGTTCCCACTTTGTTCCCATTCTTGTCGCACTTTGCGGTTCTTGTTCCCACTTTGTTCCCGCTTTGTTCCCATTCTTGTCTTGTTCCCACTTTGTTCCCATTTTTTGTCCCAACTTTGGGGTTCTCGTTCCCGCTTTGTTGCCACTCTTGTTCCCATTTTTGTCCCATTTTGGGGTATTGTTCCCACTTTGTTCCCGCTTTGTTCTCATTCTTGTCCCACTTTTGGGTTCTTCCCACTTTGTTCCCACTTTGTCTTACTTTGGGGTTCTTGTTCCTACTTTGTTCCAACTTTGTTCCTATTCTCGTTCCACTTTGGGGTTCTTGTTCCCACTTTGTCTTACTTTGGGGTTCTTGTTCCCACTTTGTTCCCACTTTGTTCCCATTCTTGTCCCGCTTTGAGGGTTCGGTTCATTCTTCTTCCCTCTTTGTTTCCATTCTTGCCCCCACTTTGTTCCCATTCTTGTCCCACTCTGGGGGTTCTTCTTCCCACTTTGTTTCCATTCCTATCCCTCTTGTTTCCACTTTGTTCCCATTCTTGTCCCACTTTGGGTTCTTGTTCCCGCTTTGTTCCCAGTCCCACTTTGCGATTCTTGTTCCTACTTTGATCCCATTTGGTTCCCATTCTTGCCCCACTCCCACTTTGACCCCACTTTGTTCCCATTCTTGTCCCACTTCGGGATTCTTGTTCCCACTTTGTTCCCACTTTGTTCCCATTCTTGTCCCACTTTGGGGTGCTTGTTCCCACTTTGTTCGCTTCTTTTTTGACTTTGTTCCCACTTCGTTCCCATTCTTGTCCCACTTTGGGGTTCTTGTTCCCACTTTGCTCCGACTTTGTTGCCATTCTTGGGGTTCTTGTTCCGACTTTGTTCCCACTTTTGTTCCCATTCTTGTCCCACTTTGGCTTTCTTGTTCCCACTTTGTTCCCACTTTGTTCCCACTTTGTTCCTATTCTTGTCCCACTTTGGGGCTCTTGTTCCCACTTTGTTCCCATTTGGTTCCCATTCTTGTCTTGTTCCCACTTTGTTCCCGTTCTTGTCCCACTTTGCGGTTCTTGTTCCCACTTTGTTCCCGCTTTGTTCTCATTCTTGTCTTGTTCCCACTTTGTTCCAATTTTTTGTCCCAACTTTGGGGTTCTTGTTCCCACTTTGTTGCCACTCTTGTTCCCATTTTTGTCCCATTTTGGGGTATTGTTCCCACTTTGTTCCCGCTTTGTTCTCATTCTTGTCCCACTTTTGGGTTCTTCCCACTTTGTTCCCACTTTGTCTTACTTTGGGGTTCTTGTTCCTACTTTGTTCCAACTTTGTTCCCATTCTCGTTCCACTTCGGGGTTCTTGTTCCCACTTTGTCTTACTTTGGGGTTCTTGTTCCCAGTTTGTTCCCACTTTGTTCCCGTTCTTGTCCCGCTTTGAGGGTTCGGTTCATTCTTCTTCCCACTTTGTTCCCATTCTTGCCCCCACTTTGTTCCCATTCTTGTCCCACTCTGAGGGTTCTCTTCCCACTTTGTTTCCATTCCTATCCCCCTTGTTCCTACTTTGTTCCCACTTTGTTCCCATTCTTGTCCCACTCCCACTTTGTCCCCACTTTGTTCCCATTCTTGTCCCACTTCGGGATTCTTGTTCCCACTTTGTTCCCGCTTTGTTCTCATTCTTGTCCCACTTTGGGGTGCTTGTTCCCACTTTGTTCCCATTCTTGTCCCACTTTGCGGTTCTTGTTCCCGCTGTGTTCCGCTTTGGGGTTCTTGTTCCCACTTTGTTCCCACTTTGTTGCCATTCTTGTCTCACTTTGGGGTTCTTGTTCCCACTTTGTTCTCACTTTGTTGTCATTCTTTGTCCCACTTTGGGGTTCTTGTTCTGTTCCCACTTGGTTCCCATTCTTGTCACAACTTTGGGGTTCTTGTTCCCACTTTGTTCCCACTTTGTTCCCATTCTTGCCCCACTTTGGTTTTCTTGTTCCCACTTTGTTCCTACTTTGTTCCCATTCTTGTCCCACTGTGGGGTTCTTGGTCCCCACTTTGTTCCCATGTGGTTCCCATTCTGTTAAAATTCTTGTCCCATTTTGGTGTTCTTGCTTTCACTTTCTTCCCACTTTGTTCCCATTCTTGTCCCGCTTTGGGGTTCTTGTTCCCACTTTGTTCCCACTTTGTTTGTTCCCATTCTTGTCCCACTTTGGGGTTCTTGTTCCCAGTTTGTTCCCACTTTGTTCCCATTCTCGTCCCACTTTGGGGTTCTTTGTTTCCACTTTGTCCCCGCTTTGTTCCCATTCTTGTCTTGTTCCCACTTTGTTCCCATTCTTGTCCCAACTTTGGGGTTCTTGTTCCCACTTTGTTCCCACTTTGTTCCCATTCTTGCCCCACTTTGTTCCCACTTTGGTGTTCTTGTACCCACTTGATTCCCACTTTGCTCCCATTCTTCTCCCACTTTCAAGTTTTTGTTCCCACTTTGTCACCATTCTTGTCCCACTTTGTTCCCATTCTTATCCCCGCTTTGGTGTTCTTGTTCCCACTTTGTTCCCGCTTTGTTCCCATTCTTGTCTTGTTCCCACTTTGTTCCCATTCTTGTCCCCCTCTGAGGGTTCTTCTTCCCACTTTGTTTCCATTCCTATCCCTCTTGTTCCTACTTTGTTCCCACTTTGTTCCCATTCTTGTCCCACTATCGGGTTCTTGTTCCCACTTTGTTCCCACTTTGTGCCCATTCTTGTCCCACTTGCGGTTCTTGTTCCCACTTTGCTCCCACTTTGTTTCCATTCTTGTCCCACTTTGGGTTCTTGTTCCCACTTTGTTCCCATTCTTGTCCCACTCTGGGGCTCTTGTTCCCACTTTGTTCTCACTTTGTTTCCATTCTTGTCCCACTTTGGGGTTCTTGTTCCCACTTTGTCCCCACTGTGTTTCCAT